TTTCTGATAGGTCTTTTGAGAGGACAATCTAAAAAGCCTATTTTTAAGTGACATGCTAAAATTCTTATTTATGGTACATGATGATGTTCCTTTCTAGAAATTTCACAGTGGCTTTGTCCCCTCCCCATGTGGTAGCCCTCCGGAGCCGTGCTTGATGGAAGTAAGGCTGTGTGCATGTAACTATGCCCAAAACAATTTAAGCTATAGGTGACTGATACATTCACAGCTATCCTTTGGGGTGCTGGTAATGGATTAGAAATCAATAATGCTGGTTTTGAGCATTCACACTCAGCTTGCAGTTCAGCCGAGTGATTATTTTTTATTTTGAAGATAGTGTCACTGGAATGCAAAGACCAGGCACAGGCAGGCGGAGGGTGGGGGATGATATTTCCATTCCAAATGCTACTTAATTTTCTCCAGGAAGTCTTAGATAGTTCAGTATTTTCATTAGTGTTTAAAATAATTTATTACGGTGTACGAGAAGAAATATTTCTGACAGTGTGGCTCAGCTGAACTGATAGCCCAGTGAGAAGACACGGTGAGTTCGATTCATCTGTATACCTTCTGCTAGAAGTGTCATCTTCCACAGCAATTGCTTTGAAAAGGGTTAAGCAAAAGAGGAAGGGAAAAGGGAACAGCTCAATTATGAAACAAAGGATGTATATTATATCAGGGTATATTATAGCTTTGGACTACAGAAATTGCATAAAAGGAACTCATATTGCCACTTCCCTAATAAACAGTTGCTTTTGTTTTGCTTGTTTCCATTTGTAGTAGGAGAGGCAGACGCATATATTGCACTGGGCATAAAACCATCTCTTGTTATTTCTCAGTAAGCAAGCGTTACCGCTCGGTATCACCACGCTGCCTAGGGATGATTTTCAGCGAGAAATGTTGTGTCCAGACCTTCCAGCCCACGTAGCTAATAGTCAAAGGAACATACACTGTGTATCTCCCTTGTGTAGCAGCAGTTCCTATCCTCCCCCAGCATGTTTTCACTTAAAACATACTGGTTTGCCTACAGCTGAGGAAATAGGCAGAAATAGTTACTCAAGTTTTACTGTGGTTTGTTTTGGGGGCAGGTTTCTTTGGTCTTTTTTTTTTTATTATTTTTTCTTTTTTTTTTTAGCTCGCTGTCTATGACCGCAATGCGGTGAGGTTGGCCGTAGTTATGCAGAATGCCCCATAAATGCTGTGGTCGAGCCTTGGCCTTTAGGCTGTAGAATGGGTTTGAAGTATGAGCCGGGTGAGTTTGGGTTAGACATACCTCACGAGCGCCTCTCTTCCGTTCCTGGTACAAACGTTCGTTTTGATCGCATTCAGAACTAGCTTCCTGTGGATCTGTTTGGGACCCATTCAATGTCTGCTAATGAGTCAGTGTCCCGCAGCCGGACCGCGCTGGGTCCGGCTGTTCTTTGCCTTCCCTCGGCCTGCGCGAGCTGCTGCCCTGGCCTTTTTCCTAAACTTCATAGGGATGCTTCTGTGTACAGGCATTTTCTCCTTCTGCTTCAGCAATGTTGTATTTTGCAACTATTTGACGAAGGTCTCCAGGGTTAATTCTAATGAACTCTTTGCTTAATCACCCTTTCCCAGAGCTCCATCTTTGTAGACACTCTGAGTTCATCCTCCCCCTCTCCATGGCCACCAGACAGCTGAAGCAAACTGGTGGTACAGGCAAAGCCCCAGAAAACTGGTTGCTCTTCAGTGGACGAAAGAAATACTCAGCTTTTGACAAAGTAGTGACTGTCTGTGTGGTTTTTGCTGTCTCTTTCCTTTTTGTGGCTGGATTTTCTACTGTGAATTATAGTCTCCTTTCACGCAGCTGCTTGGCTGGACCCTTTCACTAGAGGAGGATGTCCTTCCATTTCTCCCCACTGTCCAAGCTTCCTCTAGCTCTGTAAGTCTCCTCACCTTGGCATCTCTCATGGTCTGTTTTCTGAGATCCACCATTTCTGTGTAATCTGTTTACTCTTTTGGAGACAACCTATTGCTGTGCATCCTTCTCATGCATCAGATCTTGGCCAGACTGGATCAATCCTCTGGACTTCACCTATCTCTCTACCCTGAAATGCTTCACTGGAATGAGATTTTCCAAGGTCTAATGTGCTTCTGTCGCCCCTTGTCCAGCTAACGTGTCTGTCTGCCTCCCCCACCTTCCAAAAGACCAATACAGCAACTTTGTGACCACCATCAGAGGCCACGAGCTTTCATAGGCAGAGACTCCAGACGTGGTCATTCTTGGGAGGGTGACTGAAATCAAACTGAAAAAGATGAACTCAGCCAAGGAGACTTAATTTAAAATGGTAACGAGCAGCCCTGGCATTGTGGCATTGTGTGGTATGCATCCTGTTCTGCTAGGACTCGATTCCACTGGGTGGATATCAGGTGATATCAGGTTTAGCTTAAAGCATAGCTGTGGGCTGAGAGCTTAGCACATTAAAGCAGCAGGCCCGTAAAAGATATGTGCCAGTTAAGCCATTATAGAGGAGTTCCCAAGAGTCGTCGTGCACCCTCAACAGAGTACTGCTGTCTGCGGTGGGAGGCCCCCGTCTCTCCAGCCACTGCAACCTCCTGACACAACGAGGCGACAGTTCCACACCCTTGTGTAATGAGCATCGCTCTCAAATCCTGCAGGTGTTTGCGTCTGCTGCTCTGCTTGAAAATGATTCTAATAATACTCCTTGCCAAGCTCAATTTGTTAATGTTTTGGGATGTTGTAGAAGGCTAAACAGCTTTAGCTAGCCAGAGAGGGATTTTGATGCTTTGTGAGTAGCAGTATTGATGTTTTAACAGAGGCCAGTGCCATGCAAAAGTTGCGCTTGCCCTCCTCAGCTGCCTGTGTTTCTTACTACAACACATTTTCATTGCTGCTATCCCTCTTTCTTCTCCTCATAGATCAACCCGCTGTCATATGGCAGCGTGGTACAGACATACAGGCTGCCGACCTACAGCTGTTACCCTAAGGATTCCTGGACATCTCTCTGCAAGAAATTGTTCCTTGGAGAGCTAATCTACCCTTGGAAACACAAAGGAGAGAAGCAGGACTAAAGACAGCAAAAGAGCTTGAAAGACTTGGTCAGAAAAACACATTGAATCCTAATGCTTTTGGACCAAAGGCATCTCAGAGCCAGCAACTGCTGGATCCCTTTAATTAGATCTTGGTAACATGGGAGGGGCTGAATTTTTAAAGGCAAGTATTTTTAAACATTATTTTTCAACTTTCCTCTTCCCCTACACTGTGCTTGTGTAATATGCTAATGATTATTTTTGAAGCAAAAGGTTAAACGCATCAGTGCCTCATGGAACCAGCATTTAGTGTCATCAAGGAGGTACCTCCCGAATGGTTTGATGTTGTATATATCCTTCCATGTAAGCTCACAGGGCCGTATTAAAACAGTCCTTCGGGTGGTTCAGAGCCACAATGCTGAAGTGCATTCTGCCAAAGGGTATTTTGGACCTTTTATGCTTCAGCCTTCAAGCCAGCTGATCAAAACCAAGATGAAGGATCAGCTTGTAGAGTCATACACTGAAAACTGTACAGTGGGGTTGTCTGGGTTCATAGGACATTTATTCTCTTTCTTTTGGGTGGGCTTGGATTCACCCCCACTGCAGCACCGGAGGGGGTGTTAAGCATAGAAGCAGCGGGGCTGGAGGCCCAGAAACACAGACTGCTGTACGTTTGTGCCTATATGGTCTCATCTACATTTTTTCAAAAGCAAATCGTGTTTTGGGGGGAGCTGAGCCCTGAGCTGACACCAGAACTGAAGTGCAGAGCGCGCAGCCTCAGTCCCCAGACTGCTGAGGTTTACATGGCAGCGAGCCATGGTAGCTGAGAGCTCTGGGCTCTGCCAAGGCTCAGGGCTTCTTCGCTTAGTTGCAGCGTAAGGCAAACGCAGCTTTGCCGAGTCCAGCTCCGGCTGGTGTGTCTGCCGGAGGGCTGCAGCAGCCCGGCTTGTTACGCAGCTCGTCCAGCGCAGGGAAGCGTGTGCTGCGCTCCCTTACAGGGTCAGTACATCCCCCTGTTCTCTCAGGGCCCAGGTGAGAGCCTCGTCATGTGGTGCCTCATCATCTTTTTGCACTTTCTGATAAGCAAGGAGCTTTTAAAGTTATCTCAGATACGAGGCATTTAAAGCCGCTTCTTTCCCTGAAAATGTAGACATGTTTCTTTTAGGAGAGTTGTCCTGCTTTGGATACTACCTCCACAGTGCAGCAGCGCTCAGCTTTTCGGTGTCCCGGTCTGAATGTGTGCCCATATTGATGCGAGTCTTCTATTCCTTCTCTTGGGGAGAGTCCCTCTGTGCACAAGAGTGTGGTGTCCCGCTGGGTACTTTGTTGTTGTGTAGACATTTACATGCAATCGTTACCCAAAAATACGCTTTCTCCAGGTCTGCTAGCTCCTCTTGCCCCAGCTGAAACAAGGATGTGCTATCACTGTACCCTGCTGCACGCCCGAAGCGACTGCGTTAACTGGCAGGTGAGGGGTGTGCTGGATCATGCCCCCTTTTCCTCTGTCTATTCAAGGAACCAAGGATGGAGGGGGAAGAGGAGGATGTTTTGTGGCTGCAGTGCTCAGCCCTTCTCTGGAAGGCTGCCTGCGTATTCCGGTAGGAGTAGGTGGAGGCGAGGCAAGGAGCCACGGCAAGGTGCCCTGGGCTTTAGTAGCCTTCAGTCAGCTCCTCCACTGGCAGGGTAAGAGTTTCCTACACCAGCCCCATGTCTCACCCATGTATTTGAAGCTGTCACAGAAGAGAAGGGGTTACGGCCCCAGGAATGTAGGCTGCTTTAAGACGTCCCTGGCCAGATATATTTGGTTTGTCTGTAGCTGCTAAAGCCTCTTGTGGTGCAGCCACTGCCTCTTCAGTCATAGCTTGATCAGGAGAAAATGAAGCTCTGTAGGCAGGTGCTTGGTCCAGACATTCCTTAGCAGGCAAACACAGGAGCTGCCAAGGTCTTAGGGTTTTCTTAAGGACATCGTGAAGGGAGGCAGTATTACATGGGCACTGCTACCCAAAGAGGATGTCCTGTTACCTTGACCCAGGGAAGAAGGGCGCATCATTGAAGAAAGCCAGCGTGGCAAAAGGCCCCCCCCACCGTCTGCCACCGCAGGCTCTGGGTGGGACATCACTGGCTGCAGAAACTGGAGAGATCTTTGTTCTTCTTTAATGGTCAGTGCTTAAAACATATGCATTCTTCTCTCGGAATATCGATGCCCAAGTATTTCTCTCTACTCCAGGTGTGAATAACTCCAGGTTGTGATCCATTTAGTGGATGAATGGTCTGAATAATGTTTCTCGCTTCAGCTTAAGTCAGAGTCATGGACACCCATCCTTACCTGGCACTCAGCGGAGCAGATTTACGCTTTACCTCCCTCTCATGTTTCCACTTGAGCTACTAAATGATATTCCCCCTGCTTCCTCCCATGCCTGCATAGTTAGGTTTACTAACTGTTGCGAGAAACTTTATTATTTTTGGTCTTGTGAAAATAATGTTCCTAATATCCTGGCTTTCAAAATCTCTCTGTGAGACCAGACAGCTCACAACGGTCCTAATCGTGGCTGTCCTTTGGGACCAAGTGACCTGAAAGCCCCAGAGACAGCACAGAGCCATGAAAACCAGCAAATGTGACTTTCCTATTGGGAACCTGCCAAACATATTAGATGTTCCAGTGTTGGGTCTGTTTACTAAAGGTTGATACTGACTCCGGGGATGGTGAAATATCGAACGGAGAAAAAGCTCCTCCTCAAACCCTGAATCTTCTGCGACACAGAGGACCTTGAGTAGCCCAGCTGGGAAATGACAGCCCCTCGTGGGTGCAGTTCTCCTGCGTCAGGCAGAACTGGTGCCTGAGCTGTCTTACTGTTTCTCGTCCTCGGTGTTCTCCTTGCCCATGATGGTATCTGAGCCTATGAGTTTCTTCTGCTGGATATTTGCCATGTCTCTCCTCTTCCCTTCCAGTCACTGCTGTGAAATAGTCTTCCCCCACCCTTTTCCGATTCTGCGCAGAGACATTACAACAACTTAGCAGACATCCTGCTCAGGAACATTTGACCTTATGTCATCTCTCTAATTAGAAGTTGGGATCAGCATCATCTTCCACAGCAGCACGGACTGGCCTAGCACTGACATTTCCTCAGGGAAGAGACTGCTGGTGAGGTTATGGCTCTAATTTATCCTCAGATCCATATTATCCGCATCAGTCCTTGGATGAGAAGTAGTTAAAGATTTCAGATCTTCTCTGATCCCTACCACACACCCCTTACAGCAGGCAACAAGCAGTCTTTGCCAACCATCATTCAAAGACTGTAATCTTGCAGACTCTTTTTAATCCTGCATTTCCTCCTTATTTCTTCCACTTTGTGGTTCCCAGGGCTGGCACAACGCTCGCTATGCCTCTGCATAGGCATGGTTTTTGTGAAGGAAAACGTGATTCACTGCATGCAAAACTCCATCCTAGATAGAAATTCTGTCTTTGAGAAATACTTTCCTTTCCTAACCAGAATAGCATGTGACGATGCTGAAAGGAAATCTCAGTAATTACACTGCACTGAAGGCTGGTTATGGTTTTGGGAGTTTTCCCTGGTCCTGCAGCTGGACTGTGCCTTGTTCTGCTGGCACATGTGAATATACCATCAGGCCCACAGAAAGAGCGTTGCACGTATGTATAATCCATACGTTGACTTACACTCTCAGGAGGGTAAGGCAGGAAAATCTCCTGCTTTGTCATCGTGCAGATAATGAGTTGCTTTCCTTCTGCCCTGTGCTGCCTGATCCTGCTGCCACACCACCATCTGCTTGCTTAACTCAAGCCCTTACTCTTTGTGCTTAGACCTGCTGATTACACCATCACAGAGTCACAAACTGGTGGAGGTTGGAAGGGGCCTCTTAAGATCACCTGGTCCAACCCCCCTGCTCAAGCAGGGCCACCCAAAGCCGGTTGCCCAGGACCGTGTCCAGATGGCTTTTGAACATCTCCAAGGATGGAGACTCCGCCACCTCCCTGAACAACCTGTGCCAGTGCTCGGTCACCCTCACAGTAAAAAAGTGTTTCCTGATCTTCAGACAGAATTTGATGTGTTTCAATTCATGCCCACTGCCTCTGGTCCTGTCGTTGTCTTATGCGGAGCTAGGGGACGCGATAACTCAAATCTCTTCAGCGAATTTGAAGATTTGCGGTCCCATGTTGTCTCTGTTCCTGAGCAGTTGTGTTCAGGGACTATTCAGCAGTCCCTTCGCCTTTTGGGGGGTATCTAAGCCCTCTGCAGTTAGAGAGGGTAGCCTGCTCATTGAGCCAGTTACCTGACCTGCTCTTTGTCAGCTTTTCTGAACCTGGTAGCAGAGAGAGTGCTTGCTCTCCAGCCAAACTCGCTGCCTGCGTGAGGCATAGAGTGGAAACTCTGGGAAATGTGGAGCAGAAACCCCTGAGCTGGCAGCATGCAGGTCTGCTTGGATCGGGGAGCCGCCTTTGTGCGGTGCTCTCAGGCTCTGCATGGGTAGTCGGCGCGCCGTGAATACAGATGGGATGTGTCTGGATCTCAGCTGGTCCATCCACATGACGTGAGGCCACAGGGCTTACCAGCTAGTTCAGGAGCTTTTGGGTTGTATTCCACCGTGCAGGATAAACGTGTTCAGAGCAATCCAAACCTTATGTGGGCAGCTGATCTGCCTTCCCGGATGAGAAGAGCGTGCCCATCGCCTTTGCATCTGGCTCACCATTTTGCATTGGGAGCGGAACGTCTGCTTCCACGAGTCTGTCCCCTCTGACTCTCAGCTGGCAGCCTCACCTCCAGTCCTTATCCACATCTGGGCCTGGACCTCAAACCAAGAATGCTCCAGTTCCCCATTTATCGTCTCAGCAAGCCGAATATGAGGAGGGTACATGCGATTATGAATGCTGCAGGTGACAGAACGTAAACCCTTCGTTTCCAGATGGGTGATGAGGCTCAGGAGCAGGTGGAGGTGCTGGGTGGCTGCTTGTCCGGAGACGCACCAGAGCCAGGGCCCTGCTCTGCACTCACTGCCGGTGGAGGGGGCTGCATGCACGTCTCCCGTCCATAGTATTATTTAAGCACCTGGCATTGGGGAAATTCGTGAGAACTCTGCTACTATGGTAGTCAATCCTCCTACTGATAATGTTTTCAGTTTTTAAATGAAGTATTATTAAAAAAGTGCTGACACATTCGCAGTTCAACTAGCTGTGTGTGTGTGTGTGTGTGTGTTTGCGTGTGCACATAAAAGATGATGAGGAAATTTGATATGCTGATTAAAAAGCGCCGGTCCGTTTTCTCTTTGCATTCACATAAGCTACCAAGTGTTAAGCAGGAGCAAAGTGCTCACACAGTAGCGACACGCTGTTTTAAAATGTCACCGTTAACACCATTTGAAGGTGACTTCCTTCCCACCACAGCCCTGATTTAAAACGCAGCAGTCCGGCTTACCAGTCCAGGGAACAACCCCTGGCTTCGTAAACGGACTTGCTTCGTGTGCATCGCAGTACCGTTTCTGCAGACGGACGTGCCTGGCAGAGCCGTGGCGATGCGAGCGGGGCTTGTGTCGGCAGGTCCCTGCCCAGTCGGGGCCAGCGAGGCGCTGCGTGTACCGGTTGCAGGTGCCTGTGTTTGAGAGCTTAGGGATGGAGATCTTTGTTCTGCTGACAGGTGTGGACTTTTTGGTTAATTAAACCTTTTAATCAGAACTTAAATGGACTTTGATTACACTAGAATAAAGGTGTTGGGAGAAAAATCGAGCTCTTGCCTCTTGTTTAACTTGCCGCTGAGCACCTGTGTGTGGCTGCCTGCAGCAGCGTCTGCCACCGCCACGGGGACTGGGCAGGGAGGCTGCTGGAGGCTCGGCTTGGCCGAGCGGGCTGCTCGTCCCAGTCCTGAGGCCCGGCTCAGCGGCTACTTGATCTCTG